CACATCACTGCGACCTCGAGTCGCCTTCTTCGCAGCTAAAGTACATATCCCCTGAGGGGCGTCTGGATCCTGCTAATGCACTGCTCTGATGGTGTAGTCTCTAATGCATGGCACATAACGTGTTCCGCGCGTCGTACAGACGCATTAGCATTCTGCACGACACGTCTTTCCGTGGACTCTCCTGCGCTTGATATGGTACGCTAGTTCCTTTTTTTATCGTCTGGTACCCGTTCGTGCCTTCTGTAGTCTGTAGCCTATAGCGTCTGCTCCCAATGTCGATGAAACGGGTTTTGCTCTTCTCGATGATCGATACATACTCACGGCTTGGTGTAAGACCCGAGGTTAAGAGAACTACAAACTGTATCGAGTTCGTGACGAGGAAACAAACCCGGCTTGTTCCTTCTCCGTACCTGTTCCGTTCCGGGATTCGATACGGTGAAAGGGTTATCGGAAGTCGCGTTACCAGTTTGCCATACGTTTCATTTTTAGTAGAACGCATCTTTAGCAGACGAAACTGCGTCTTTCCCTTTCCTCAACTTCTTCTCATACTCTTCATTCGTTCGCGCTTGTTTTCATTTTCATACCGCTGTAGATTTGACACTTTCAAAGTGAGCATAGATTGATTGAGCACAATGGTCTTCGCAAGCCGTCCCGTCTTCAACAGCACTGACGCACACATTGCATACGAACCAACTGGTTGAAGCGCGTTCTCCTTTTTTTTTTTTAGCCTTCGTCATCTCCAGGAAGCGACCATATACGTGCGCTAGCTGGCCTCGTATTCAGGATGTGTGATAGCATCGCGTTTCTAAGCTGGCGCGAGTTAATCGCGACGGATCTTTTGGTTAGTACCGGTTCCTCGTGTATACTGTGACCGGATTAACTCGCTTTTGCGTAATCCCTCCTCCTGGCTTGAGTAATCACCATGCTCTCAAGATGCGCCTACTCATCTGGTAACCACTTGTTGCATGGATCTGGCAAGATTGGTTGAATTTCGCTTGATCCAAGTGACCGTACAACGAGGTGTCGATGATTAAACGAAAGAATCCGGTGGGATGGAACACTTCGGTATGACCATTGCAAAGATATATGAATCATGTGTACTTTTTTTACGCTGCGTTTGAAACGCCTGACGTTGCTGTTACAGCTTTCTACAGACTCTGCACTAAAAGAAATGAAGGATTCCAGGATCGCACATGTGTGAGTGAATCTGGTTATGCAAACATTATTTCTAATGCCAGAACATGCTTGCTCGTTGAGAGCGTTCTAAATAAACCAGGACCATTGGCTGCACCACCAAGAGACTTACCATGGGTTCATTTCCATTTCCCTGTGCCGTCGTGGGCAGCCTGTTTCTCATAATGGGAATCGTGACTTGCGTGAACGCCAGCTCTCCCGCCAATGGCGCTCTGGTGGCGTTGTCAAAAAACAAATCTTGGCTAAACTGCACACCCACGTAAGAAATGGGAAGCAGGAACGCTTCTAACATATGCGAGCCCCCAAAAAGAAGGCGGGAAAGGAAGGTCATCGATGTTATCGTCTGCTTTTGTTATTAACGCGCTAGCAGAACCGGCTTGCAAAATAGCGCCGGCAAAGAGATAACAAAAATCTTAACAGAGGTGTTTCGCGCCTTGCGTCTTTTCATCTGACCACTCACGTCATCGTGTCGTCACCGCCCCTTCGACGAAAAAGAACTGAAATGAATGTTTTCTGCTGCCGCCTTCAGCATGTTTCATTTGCATTTTCGTTTCTCATCAGTATCATCTTCTGCACTCACGATACAGTTGTCTTCTATAGCTGCAACTATCTACTGCAGTCTTTCTTTTTCATCTGCTGCTGTTTTCTCCATTCTTCGTCCGCAGTCTTTCCAGCTTGGAGCAACGACAGTTATAGCGCGAGAACAGAACGAAGGCAAAGAGACTGTCGTCGTTCTGTTCTCGCGCTATAACTATCGTCATGTCATACCAACTAGCCCAAACTGCCACACTTCTAAGCTTGGAGCGGTTTGTATATAGACTCCTTCGCAGACCTCTGGTCGAATTTGTAGTCGTCTTCATACCATGCGTACTCTTCCCTCGTCGTTGTTCTTTTTTCATCTCAGAATGTGTAAGCAGCGTATAAACAACGTATCGCAGTAACTATAGGCACGCACAAAGTTATTATCGTCCGCGGCCACCCCAGAAGTGTGTGTGTTTTTTTAAATATATATTGGGAACGCATTGTATGTCACTACACTTCAGACGAAGCAGAGTAACACGATACTTAAGTCGTCTGCTGTCCCTCTTGTTAGTTGACCAGAAGGGTTTTTTTTTTATTGGGAATGTGTTACACAACAGCCAGCCAACATTGAAGCAGGTGTAGCAGACAAAGGCTTCCGGAAGAGCTGATGCAGAAGATGAACTCATAATACTAATCCTCTGCCTTTCCGCACACTGCCGGAAGAGTTCTTCATTAGGAATGCGTTGCGCAGTAACCCACTTTGAAACAGCTGCAACAGACGAAAACATTTCGTCTATTCTGCTTTTCGCGCGTTACCTGACAGGCGAAGGCTTGTAGAACAGTCAAAGCCGGCAGACACCCGAAACTTCAGTCTTCTTCCGTCCCACGTGTTGCCAAAAAAATCAGTGTACTTTATTTTAATTTTGTATTGCGTATTCGTGAAGCTAAACAGGTGCAAGAACTCAAGACGTCTGGTACAACCAAACCAGACGACAAACACACAAAAATAATCGTCTGCTTCCTCGCATACTGCCAGAAGTGCTGTTCATTAGAAGCGCGTTACGCAGTAACCAAGCTTGAAACAGGTGTAACAGACGAAAACGTCCGGTCTTATGCTGCACGTGTGCGTTATACATTGGCCGAAGACCTGGCAGGAAGAAAACTTCGTGACCCGGTGACGGTGCCACTACGGAGGGGAAGTTCGAACACGATCGAACGTGGGTCCTTAAAAAACAAACATTAAGAACCGTGAAAAAGAAAAAGAGAAGCTAGCGCGCTAGAGAAAGCGAACTGGGGGGCAGCGATGCGTGCTGGGTCCGTTACAGAGAAACCGAAAACTGGTTCCCCTTCGGTGGTTCACGCTCGCCCGCCCGCCGCGCTTCAAGACGCCGCACACAGCGTCCCTATTCGTGAAGTCCCTGGACGCGGCGCCGTGCTCGCGTGCGAGGTCAACCGGTGTATGGCGCATGAAAAATCGAACGAAAGCCAGCTCGCGCGGGTCGTCCGGAATCGAGGTCGACCATCGGCTCGGTCGGCACGTTCGGCCCGAAGCCGGTGGAACGCGGCTGCAAGCCGTAGTTGTCTTGTCCTTCCGCGGTATCGTCTGCTGCACTCGCGAAAGTTGTCCTTCTGTTTTTATATATCGCTTGCAGTTGTCTTCTGCTTCCATACTCTCCATCTTTCATCTGAAGTTTTGTCGTCTGCTGCATCACGCGAGAGTGGTCTTCTGCTTTCATACTATATGTCGTCTGCTGTCTTTATTTTCGTCTGCTGTCGTCTTCTGCATATTTCATCTGAAGTTTTGTCATTTGCTGCACCTCGCGACAGTGGCCTCCGGCTTTTTGTACGTCGTCTTTAGTTTTTATATCCGTCTGCTGTCGTCTTCAGCATTTCGATCCACAGTTTTGTCGTTTTGCAGTATCGTCTTTCCGCGCACTCACGATAGTTGTATTCTGCTTTTGCCGCCCTTTTCTTTTTTTTTCTTCGGCTATGTAGCAGTCATCTGACACTTTCATCTGTAGTATTTATTTTCGTCAATTCTTCTGCTTCGGGTATATATGAGGACACCTTCTTCGTCTTCCGAGACCATTCTTTATATCATTTCCGACGTCTCACCGTTGCGGTCGATCTAAACACGTCGAACACTATTGAGCTTTAGAACGAGATTGAAACCTTGTTTGTATGTTCGTTTGTTTCTAACAAGGTTCGTTTGGCTCGTTTATGGCTTTCACTGCGGCAGGCTTTCACCTCGTCTTGACCTTCTGCTTCTTTCGTGTCGTCTGCAAGGCTTTCAGATGAGCGTCTGCTTCGAATACTAAGCCGCTGAGCCGTCGCCTTCCGTGTATATTGTATTTATTTTTCTCACCACGCGCACGCGCACTTTCCTGTCTATTATGCAGCAGTGACCCGCTACTCGCAACCAACATGTTTCTTACATGTGGCTCGTTTGATTTTCCCTCCGTTTTTGCTTCTGCAATATGTTATAACCCGTCTCGCTTATTCTTGCATAACTCATGTGTCGTGGCCGGCTTTAACGATTTGCGTCCTATATTGTATTTCTGGTGCGTCCGTCTGGCTTTGTGTTCGGCGTCATAGGGAAATGTACCACGTGCCTTCTTTCGAGTGTCGTCTGCTCGTGGAATTCTAGTTTTTTTTTTTCGTCTGCAATGCCAAAATGCCAGAGTTTACTGCCTCCGCACAGAAATAAAATTACCATCCTTGGTGATCCACAAGCACTCAGCATGGTACACTCCCATGAAAGTAGTGGGTTTGCAGAAAAAGGGGTCGTTCCTGTTCACGAGCTGTTTCGTGTCGAGCCCTATTTATAGAAAGGGAAAGCGGCCCCGAAGAGAAACTCGTGACGGATCTATTTGGGGTCGTTCGAAAAAAACAACGCACTCCATTCGAGTTCGATATCGCTGTTGCAGAGAAAGAGGCTTCTGCCCGCGTGACCAGCGTTTCTATTTTCTTCTGTTTTATGTTTCTGCTGTTATCTTCGTGTCGTATAAGAAGTAAAGATAGCAGTATGGGGTGCAAAAGGGACTGAATGATGATGGAGGGGTGACAGATAAAGTTTTGTAGAATGCCGTTAAAATTATTTGGAAGGTCTCTATTTATCATTTTGGGTCTTCCTCCTGTAGCACTTGTGCACTGTGCCATGACATCGCAATCAACTTCAACTTCCTGACACCCGCTAAATCTAGAAATAATTATGCTGGTCTATGTGGGACGGATTCTTTATATTATCTGACTGTAATCATTATTTTTTTTTCTATCTTTTGCAGAATGCAGGCCATGCACAGACAGGGAACTGCTGCATCACTACTGCTCCAGTGATTTCGGTGAGTGGGTCAATTTCGCCTCGTCCACGAAACGCTTAAACTGTCGGCAACGATTCGAACGCCGTCAAACTCGAAACTATATACACTTCAGTGCATTGATCATTGAGTTTTTCATGCTCAGCTCCATTTGCTGCCAAGCTGTTTTTATAAAGCGGCTTTATTAACGTCCTCAAAAACAAGAGAAGGGCTCCCCTGTTTTTAGGTAGAGAGATGATATACGGAGCTAATACACGTCGTATACTTCCGCGTAATTTCATGCCACACATTCACTGAGTCTATCAGTCAACGACAGTGTCTGCTCGTAAATGGTACTTCAATGTTAGTACTTCCACTTGTGGTAAGCAACCCATTTTTTTTTTGTAACATAGTGACAGCCCGAAAGAAAATAAAGAGGAGGAATTCACAAATGGTCTTACATTCTAAATACATACAATACTAAAGCAATCATCCCTGCTTTTTATTCACCTAAATAAAAGACATAGCCCGTGTATGTAACAACCAAATCGTTCCTTTAAGGCAATAAATTGAACTGAGCATTGCCTGTGGCTATAGTTTGCCGTCTGCTACGCCAATTGCTAGTAGACGGAAGCTAATATATTTCTCTTACTTTATAGACCGAATGTCAATAAATGTTATGTTATTCCAAAACACCTTCTCGTGTAGAGTTGCTGGCCGACTTTAGTTCGCGAGCTAACTGAACTAAATAATCAATAAAAATTACAGCATATCCACGGAGTGAATGATGATGAGTGAGGCGAATCGTCCATCATCCCGTCTGTGCTTCCGTCCGTCCGCTGGTTCTTACTTTCGTCCGTCCGTGCGACCATCCGTGCGTCCATCAATGCCCCCATCCGTCTGCCCATGCGTCCATCTGTCCATCTGTCTGTCTGTCTGTCTGTCTGTCTGTCCGTCCGTCCGTCCGTCCGTCCGTGCGTCCACCTAGTGAACACTCTAAGTACCGCCATCTCTCATCCCCTGTGGCACATACCCGCTCCACGTGTCCATCCATCCGTCCGTCCGCTTGCTAGTCTGTCTGTCTGTCTGTCTGTCTGTCTGTCTGTCTGTCTGTCTGTCTGTCTGTCTGTCCGTCCGTCCATGCGTTCGTCCGTGCGTCCATCTAGTGAACACTCCATGTACCGCCATCTCCCATCTCGCATCCCGGTGGCTACGTACAACGACGTAGGATGGACAGACCCACGCCTTAAGGAGCTTTGCCCCTAAAACTAAAGCTGCTCAAAAATCATCGCTGGTTTTGTGGACGCACGCCCAGTGCCATACCCGCTTCAAAGAAATCCAAAATCTAGATGGGAGCCGACAGATGGAAACAACGTAGTGGGATAATCAGGGCGAACAGTGGAGGTGCCTCAGACGGGCTGGCCAACGTTTTGATAGGAGGACCTATCTTTTTCAAAGGTCAAAAAGATATAGGTCCTCCTATCAAAACGTCGGCCAGCCAGTCTCAGGCACTTCCACTGTTCACCCTGATTTTACGGCTTCAAAGAAGGCATATTAAATGGTTTATTTTCAAAGCTGTCGACTGTCTTCGTTGCAATGTCTTTAACCAAAAGGTCGTAATGTATATATTAGATTACCCTAAGTTCATGGCTGCAAGCTTTAGTGCTATTCTTTAGTGCCATTCCACACAGTACTTGACTTTCCGAAGGACCCCGGTGCTCGTTAAAGGAGTGGGCGTCTGCTATAGCATAAGGGGCAAGCAGACGACACCTCGCGCATTAAGTTTTCGTCTGCCTTTTAACGAGATTTCTCGCGGAGACAAGGTTACGACCACCCTTGTCATACCCGCGCAGTCTCACAGATTAAAGTAAAAGTAGAAGTCGCGAATGAAAACACACAGCAACAACGCGAAGTGTCAAGATGAAGGTCTTGCGGGGCTAAAGACCCGCGTTCGCGGTTCGCGAAGTCTTGTTTACGACGTCTCGAAAGTTCCCCGCTTGCCGCGCCACCGCGCGGCCGGTGTCTGCATTTCCCACAGTGTCCCTTTTCAGATTGCTATGAGAAAAAGAGAGTGAGAGCAGCGACATGGATTGGGAGAGGTTGAGACGTTGAGCAGACGACACAAAACAAGTAGCAGACGACACGCGCGTGCGATGCAGACGAAAACAAAAAAAAAAAAACGTTGAAGTACTCACAGGGGGAGAAGGAAGACGCACTTGAAACGCATGAGCGCGATGATAAGCCATAGCGGTACGAAACCGTAAACAGAAAGATAGCTAAAACATAAAAAGAAGTAATTAAGAAACGCTGGCAGTCGCATCGTCATGGGGATGCTTGCTCCCTCGTTCCACTGCGCGCAGAGATTCATGTCTTCGTGAGGGCGAAGCAAATAGAAAAAGTAAAGCAGTTCTGTCTCATGGGTCTGCACCCTGTGTTCACGCTCGCGGTCTCACGCTCCCGTCGGTTAGCACGCTCCGTTGTCACCAGAGGGCGCCAGTGTATATATATAATGAGATAGAAGAAGTGCAGGGCACCGCAACACCAAAGAGGTTTTATATACAAGTACGCACAACTGGAAGCATAAGCGCCATCAAGCGGTCGGGCACTGCGAACCACCGGCATGGTGGCGTGGTGGCGCTAACGGCTTCGTGGGTTGGCTTGGCCAGGGGCTAAAAATAAGACGCGAGCCTCGTTTTTCGCCCCCTTAAGGCACACGGCAAGCAGGCAGGCATCAGGTCGCTATTTGGTACGGGGGTGCAAAAATCTCAAATCTCCCTTTCACTCTCTCAAGCCAGTGTTAAGGGTGGGTGGTAGTGAGCGCAAAAAAAAGAAAAAAAAAGACTGCTGGATATGAGGCGAACGCGAGTTATCTGTAACAGGGCCGCCCTGTGGACAGATGCGACACAGCCCCCCGAAAAAGCGCCCCCTCACCGTGGTTTACCGCGCATTTTTGGCCCGAGATGGGGGACACAAATTGTCTGTTGGCGGGGACGGTCGACAACAACCGAAAAAAATAATAACAAGTCCTGCACTGTGATCCTCTTCCATTTCCATGTTGCGTGCACGCGCAGCATTATCGGAGTCACTCCCTCCCCCCTTCTCTTCCTTTCTCAAAAGGCCGGTGCGTGGGAAGATGACATTGCCGACGAAGGCGGGCAATCTGAGATGCCATATTGTTTCTGTTCGACCAAAAATCATGCGTCGTCTGCTTTTGTTGGGCAGTTTTTCGTCTGCTACATGTGCCTTAGAAAAAAAAAGGCAAAAAAAAAAACGAGCCTCCTGTTTCACGCACTTGTGGCTTTCGTCTCTCGATCGATGACTCCGGAACGCATTAGCCAGAATAGCATCACGTGTTATGCCATCACGTCTAGAGATGCCTAGTGGCCGTTTGCTGTTGCAGTTGCTCCCATGTGAACCTTATCCACATAGCGTAAACGTTATGACAGTGAACGAGGGAGGTTCGAGCAAATGAGTCAAAAGTCACCGAAAAGCTTCTCTTGTGACAGCGAGCCTACAGGTGTCGAGCGTTCGTCGTGCTGACTGCCTACAGTACCACCGTAATAACCCAAGTTGAGTAATTAACATGTAAACGTGTACTTTTCTAGGACCCCCCCCCCCCCCCCCCCCAACAACTCTCATAAGAGGATTTCAGGCATATCACCTGTTAAGATTATCTATAGTCTATTGGGTCTGCCAGAGTATGTACAATGGATGACCACTGCAGTGTAATTGCAGAAGGGGTTAGAGAGACTCTTAGACAGTTAGTAGACGCGGAGTAGTGACGCAAGGGAAGTTCGCCACGTTACTGGATGAATCGGAGCCAAAGGGGCAACACCGATACAATTGAATGTGTAGTTCACAGTCCCGCCTGCTAAAATGCTCTCGCATTCGCAAGACGCTCGCGAAGTACGTGCTTACTTCAGCGCCACGTACTGCGTACTTCAGTATTACTGTTTACTTCAACGTTACGCTTACTTCAACATCACATTACTACAGAACCACTGTTTACTGCTGCGTCACTCTTTACTAACATCATTTGTTACTTCAACGCCGCCAAGGTTACTTCAGTGTCACATCTTACATTAGTATCGCTTCTTCAACGTCACGGTAACTTCAGTGTCACATCTTACTTCAGCATCACTGCTTACTGCGACGTCACTTCTTACTTCAACACCACGGTTACTTCTGTGTCACTTTTTACTTCAACATCCCTGCTTACTGCAACGTCATTTGTTACTTCAGCAGCATGGTTATTTCAGCGTGGCATATTACATTAGTATCGTTTCTTCAACGCCACGGTAACTTCAGTGTCACATCTTACTTCAACATCACTGCTTACTGCGACGTCACTTCGCCATGGTTACTTCAGTGTCACTTCTTGCTTCAACATCCCTGCTTTCTACAACGTCAGTTGTTACTTCGACGGTACGGTTACTTCAGCGTGGCATCTTACATAAGTATCGCTTCTTCAACGTCACGGTAACTTCAGTGTCACATCTTACTTCAACGCCACTGTTACTGCAGTGTGACATTGTATACATTAGTATCGCCTCTTAACGCCACGGTTTCTTCGGTATCACACTTTACTTCAGCATCGCTGTTTACTGCAACGTCACTTTTTACTTCAACGCCTTCGCTTACTTCCACCTGACTTCTTTCTTGAAACGCCACCGCTTACTTCAACGTCAGTGGCGATGCACGTCGAGCGAGCGTTCTTATATCTATCTTATATCGTTCTTACATCGAGCGTTCTTATATCTATCCAACGCTTCCTAGATTTCCCGTGCCTGCCGGATTATCGGCGGTCACTTGGAAAGCGGCGGTCGTCGGAACTACGGTGGTGGCGCCACTCAAGTAGGGGTGTCTTCAAATAGGTTTTTACGTTTTTGGAGCTTATGTGCAACAAAAATAACGTTAAAAAGTTTTAAAAAGGCGTAAGCGTAATTATAATTAACCCTACGTAAGTGACGCCGGCATTCAGCAAGCAACTATTTTAATGCAAGGCATGCTCTGAAATTAGTAGCAAACGCCGAAATTGCCGATCT